GGGGGGGGGGGGGGGGGGGGGGGGGGGGGGGGGGGCGTCAAAAACGCCGGTTGATTGACGCCGGTGAGTATGCTGAGCCACAGGCTGAACACCTACAGAAATTTTGTAAATGGAATAGTACCGGTTCCTGTGAGTAGCGCCGCTCGATGCGCCGGGCACGCACCGGCCCTGCCCCCTCAGGCAGGAGTAAGAACACCATACGCATGCAAGAAAACGCATACCAAGGCAACACACGAGACGGCTTGTTGTGTACATGCTGCCTCTTTTCAACCCTTGGGGCTTGTCCTCCAAAAACGCACTTGACATAGGTCGTATAAAAAACCCAAAAATATATAATTCAATAAAAAGCAACACCCAAAATGTATATTTCTGCCGTTTTTTCTTTTTCGGCGACGCGACGCAGGTAATGCACCCGAACGGCGTGAGCCACCTGGAGGTTGGCAACGACCAGGAGGGCGTGGATAGAATCCTGCAGTGGCTGTCGTACGTGCCCAAGACCGCCGGTTCACTGCCGGTCGCCCGGCCCGTCACTGACCCCGTCGAGCGCGAGGTGGGTGAAATACCTACATCACGAGCCCCCCCACTCCGTGGTTGTCTGTTGGTTGGTGCTAGGGTGACTTGTGCTTTGGTGTTACGATGTGGGTGTAGCACCCGGGAACGGTATGTACGTGGCTGACAATCGTCCGCCCAGTGACTGATCCCGTCGAGTGTGAGGTGGGTGAGCTACCTACATCACGGGCCCCCCTCCGTGGTTGTCGGCTGGTTGGGTGCCGGGGCTGGCTTGAGTTGTGGTAGCACGAAGGCGGCAAGGCCGAGGGCCGTTACTACCTCCCCGTCTGGCCGCCTTAGTGATTAAACGACGGTCGGTTCGTGCAAACTTCGTGTGGGCAGCGCTTCCGGGGTCACTGCCACCGTGCCCTGTGACCGGGAAGCGCGGCGCAAACGAAGATCTTCAAGCCGACCGCCGTTTGATCACGAAGGCGGCAAGACGGGGAGCAAAGATGACATGGCGGTGGTATCCCGATGACACGCAAACAATTTACAAAAGTACAAAAAAAAAGTGGCTTTCTCTGCACAAATTCTTTTTTTGCTTGTTTGTTTTGGCCGGACTGTCGCTTTTTGACTGCCACTGTGACTTGGGTGTATGCACCCGTCAGCAGCAGTGTGTGGCTCGAGGGTGTTATCCCTGTTGCGGCCTGCGTCGTTTTGTAACACTCTTCTCAAGATAAGAATGCCTCGCTTACCGTTGTGATGTTCACCTGGTACAGTATTTGTAAGAAACACAGCCGGATCGATGACATGTGTGGTATTTTTGTCGTCAGGAGAACCTTTTTTTTGTTTTTTTCTTGTTTTTTTCGAGGTGCCGCCGTGATACCCCACCCCCCCCCCAAAAAACATAAATAAAATAAAAATGAAACAGGTAGTAGTGTACCAACCAATCAGCAAGAAAACAACTACCACAGCAGTGGCGTCTACGGTTTAAGAGAGAGTATATAAGAGAAAGTACCGATTCAAGAGTCAAACGGGCTTGTCACGACCATGAGAAATACGTACATTTCACCGCAGAACGGTTGAAGAGAAAACCGGAATTAAGAGGGAAATACTGGCTTGTCACGACCCCCTCCTAAGCCGTAGCCGCCACTGTAACAGCAAGCATGGGTGGGGGCGCTGCACCAACCGGCACCGAATTTCCTGCTTTGTGCCGGATGAAAACGTTTCTTCCTTTGTGCCGGTCTACTTTCTACCTCGGAACAACCGAAGAAGAGGGCTTGCGAGACGAACAACGCCCGATAGTTCTGGTGTCCCACTTCTCCCTCCCTCTTCGGGGGGGGGGGGGGGTACTCATAGTCGTGCATGCGGTAGTCGTTAGAC